TTTTTTTGTTATTATGGCCAACTTCAAAGCGAGGTCCAAATGATGTAAAAAATTGGACATAGTCATTAAATGGGTCGTCCAGTTCTTTCTTCTGCAGATCCCTCCTCACATCGTTCTTCTCACAAAAATCGCGACAAAAACCTTTTGTGATAGCAACGGTAGCGACAGATATGTGATGTTATTAAGATGGAATAAATAGAATCTTATCTTCAATTGTGCTTGGTGGTCGCGAAGTTAATTACAGAGATCTGGTACTGTAGAGGCGGCTCTAGTGCAATTTGAAGATCGGGGATGGAGAAGTCGGTACCGGCGGCAGCTTAGAGACCAGGTGGCTGAAATCGGAAGTGCGTACAGCGAGAATTTGAGAAAGTTGATCCCGGTCGGATTTTGCAGCTCGGTCGGCTTTCTTGGAGGTCGGCCCCATAAATTGGTGAAATTAGCTCTGTTGTAAGTCGGGATGGCGATAACGTCTGTCATAGAAGACTTGAATTTTGAGCAAAGCGAAGTCGATCCTGACAACTGAGAAGTCGGGAATCCGACTGTGAAGTCGGCAATTGCTTGGAATCTTATCGATCAGACCTCGGTTTCGAGATTAAAGGTCCAGTCCTGGTTGTGAAGAGTTCGGCCCCGATGTTTACGGCGGTGACGTCGGCCCCGACGGTGATGTCATATAGAGCAAAGTCAGTCGCAAATTGTTTTGAGATCATCTCAGAGGTGCCGATGTAGGTTCCGGCAACAAATCAGGGATGCGGCAGCGAATCAGAGATAAGTGGGTCGGTTCCATTGGCGCGTGTAGTGTATCAGAAAATCAGACTTTGCTGCTTTGAAGTCTTTTGACCGAGGTCACCCCGGTGGTATGTCGGGAACTCGAAAGTCGGCAGAATTAAATAGAGGTCGGATAAATTGGACCTCGGTGAATATGTTAGCCGAGATTTTGGTCGGTAATTCTGCCCTAATTCAGTTCGGGCTCATGAAGTCGGTCGGTGAGTGAGGTGGGCCTTGT